AGATCTCCTTCCTGGTGAGCGACGAACTGCCATTTGATATGCTACTAGGCATGTACTACCTCGAAGTCTCGCAACCTCAGTTTGATTGGGATAGAAAGGTGTTGATCCACAAATTGCCCAACGGTAGAACTGTTAGATTGCAGAAGCATAAAGCTAGCAGTCTAATGGAAAACTACGGGTGTATGTGTGCTTCACCCTTCTATAACTACTATAAGCAGAATCGAGAGGAGGGCATGTATTTAGTCTTTGTCTCTGAGAAAGGGGAGGCCGTTAAAACACCCCCAGAAATAGAAAGAGTCGTCGCACAATATTAAGACCTTTTTGAGGAACCCACAGGCGTGGTGGAAAGGGAGGTTGTACATGCAATAGAGATTGTCTCAGGTAGCAAGGTGCCTAGAGGACGAATCTATAGGATGTCTCCCGCGGAGTTAGATGAGCTTCGCCGCCAGCTCAAGGAGCTCACAGAGAAGGGATGGATATGGCCTAGTACCTCCCCTTACGGTGCGCCAGTCTTATTTGTTCCAAAGAAGGGAGGTCCATTAAGGATGTGCATTGACTATAGGGGCCTCAATGCCATCATCGTTAAGAACGCGGAGCCCCTACCCCGCATTGACGACCTCTTGGATAGAGTGCAGGGATGCCGGTACTTCACAAAGATAGACTTGAAGTCCGGATACCATCAAATTGCTGTTAGACCTGAGGATCAGCACAAAACCACATTTCGGACCAGGTACGGTCTGTACGAGTTTGTGGTGATGCCTTTTGGCCTATGCAATGCGCCTGGTACATTCCATCACGCGATGGATAGAATTTTTCATGACTACTTGGACAAGTTTATCGTCGTGTACCTCGACGATATTCTCATCTTTAGTAGGACTGTAGAGGAGTACGCTGAGCACTTGAAAACTGTGCTAGGTCTCCTAAGACAGCACCGGTACAAGGTGAACTTGGATAAATGCGAGTTTGGTCGCACCAAGATCCTGTACTTGGGTCATGAGATTTCAGCAGATGGATTGAGGCCGGAAGATGCGAAGGTGGCCAGCATACGTGACTGGCTTAGACCTCAGACTGTTACTGAGGTCAAATCGTTTTGGGGGATGACGGGCTATTACTGTCCGTTTGTGAAGAACTTTAGTACTATAGCTTCCCCATTGACAGATCTAACTCGACTGCACACCGCTTGGGAGTGGACTGAAGAGTGTGAGGCGTCCTTTAAGAAACTGAAGTACGCTCTAACACACTATGAGGTTCTTAAACTTCCTGATCCTGATAAGCCGTTTGTCGTAACCACTGACGCCAGCCAATATGGCATAAGCGCGGTCCTTGTGCAAAAGGAGGGGCCCAAGTTGAGACCCATCGAGTACATGAGCAAAAAGATGCCATCTCAGAAACTTGCTAAGTCCACTTATGAGCGTGAGCTCTATGCCCTGTATAGAGCGCTGGTACATTGGAGACACTATCTCCTTGGCAGATCCTTCTATGTGAGATCTGACCATGAGACCTTGCGCTGGATCAAGACTCACCCAGTACTCTCTCACGCACTCAAGCGCTGGATACAAGTTATAGACATGTATGACTATCAACTTGATCCAATCAAGGGAGAGTACAACAAAGTAGCTGATGCATTATCTCGCCGGGCAGATTATCTGGGCGCACTAGTGACTAAGTTTGGCATATCTAGCGACTTAACTCGATCATTGGTGGATGCCTATCAGCAAGATCCAGTTATGCCTGAGATCATCCGTAGATTCCAAGCAGGACAAAAAGACTTTGGACGAATTTACGATGGTAGATGGCTTGCTGTTTCTTGAGAAGGCAGGGAATAAAAGGTTGTGTGTTCCCAGTAGCGAGTCGTTGCGCAGTTTATTTTTAGGAGAATGCCATGATGCAACTGGTCATTTTGGCTATAAAAAGACATCAACGAACTTAGTACAAAGGTTCGGGTGGCCCTCTACGATGCAAGATGCAAAACGATACGTTGAAACCTGCCAGGTTTGCCAAAGAGACAAACCAAGGACTCAGGCTCCGCTTGGGCTGATCAAGCCCTTGCCGATTCCTGAAGGACCAGGTCAGAGTGTGTCTATGGATTTCATGGACACCCTTGTGACCAGCAGGTCTGGAAAGAGGCATATCTTTTGTTATAGTGGACCGTTTTAATAAATACGCAAGACTGATCGCCATGCCAGAAACAGCTAAAACTGACTACGTCATCAAACTGTTTATGGATAATTGGGTACGTGATTTTGGTTTGCCTACATTCATCGTTAGCGATAGGGATGTGAGATTCACAAGTGAACTGTGGCAGTCAACTGCAGAGCAGATGGGCACCAAACTCCAAATGACCTTAGGGAATCACCCTGAGTCAAATGGGCAGGCAGAACAGATGAACCGGGCAGTACAGCACCTGCTTCGGCATTACATTAAGCCAAGTCAGGATGACTGGGACGAGAAGTTACCTCTCGTCGCCAGCTTGTACAACTATGCTGTGCACAATACAACCGGTACGACTCCCAACCAGTTACATCTTGGTTGGAAGCCCAGAACTGCATTAGACTTTCTGCTACCAGAAAGACAATCCACTGTAGCACCTGGCAACATAGATTTTGCTGTCAAATATGAACAGATGCTGCAGCAGGCCGTTGAACATATTAAGAAGTCTCAGGATGCTATGATTGCATCTGAGAATAAGCATAGACGGCCCTCTAACTTTCAGGTAGGTGAACGAGTCTGGGTAAAGCCATATGAATTAGGTCAGGAGTTGGGGATATCCAAAAAACTGATGCCACAGTATTTCGGGCCCTGTGAGATCTTGGACGTTGTAGGGGATCAACCGGATGGGCCTTCATAAGTGATCCGTATTCCTGCACACTTACGCACCTACCTAGTGTTTCATGCCTCCAAGCTGGCACCTTTCGCTGCCACTGATCATTTTCCTTCCAGAAGATCAATGCTGCCCCCAACCATGGATGGCGAAGTGGACATTGACCAGATCATCGAGCATCGAGTGATGCCGGTTCCTCAACCATCAGGCAGAGGGCGACCTCCTAAACCGAGAATGCAGTATCGTGCGAGCTTCAAACATCATCTGGATCCAAAAGAAGACCGGTGGTTCACACGAGAAGAACTCATGAGAACAGCACCTCAAGTGATCGCAGGCTATGAAAGAGCACTCAAGGGGAAGATGCCTGCAGAATGAGAGACTTCTCAGAGGACTCACGAAGTAAAGGAGGAGGGAATGCGAGGATCAGGGTCCTCGGTAGGCCTATGGGGCCCTGTTTGCAGCATTACCCGCCCTAAGTGAAGGCGGAGGTGCCCGCCCTAAGTGAAGGCGGGCCTGGCTTTTTGCAAGAGGCCCTCGACTGTCAATTTCATATTTSGGGTCCAGGCAGTTGCGACGCGCCAGTTGGTTGAAAGAAACACATGCCGAGCAACAAAGACATTTCCACGGCCCTCCGGGCATTTCCAAACAATGCAAGCCCTGGGCGTGATTCGCAGCCTCGTACAGAGACAGTTGGGCACCCAACCGAACGAGGCCCAGCAGCCCAGTAGCTGTTGTACGCAGGCAGCCTCTTGGGGCCTTCCGGAAGCTTCTGGGCCCAGGCCAGCCCACAGGCTGCGAGAGCTGGCCAGCTCTTTTCCATAAAGGAAAGAGCTCTGGCCAGGCAGCCGCATTCAGGCACTCGCATGCTAGCGGCAGCGCTGCTGGAGCAAAGGCTTGCGGCTGCTGGCTGGCACTGAGAGGCGAGGTGCAGCACGTGCGGTCGTGCAGAGGAGGAGGGCGCTGCTGAGGGCAGCGCCATAGCCCAGCCACCATAGCTGGTGGGCTTGGACTACAGTGAAGCGCAGGGGTGGTCTTCAGGTTAAAGAGAGGACAGGTGTGGGTGTAGTCAGGGGATAGGTGAAGGATGATGATGATGATGATGTGAGGGCACTTACCTTGTATTGGCGATGGTCTGCATGGGCGACATCTTCAAGTACTTCGGGCTGCCGCTGATGTCAACAATTGCATTGTCATTTTGTAGTCTCTAGTAGCTGTGTAGGAGCAGGCTGGGCGCTGAGCGCCAAGTGTGAATGTGAAGGAACTGGACTCTTGTGTTGAGGGGAGAGAGTTTGCTCTCCATGTACATTGGTTTTCAGTGCTACGAACTTCCATTGGTGTATTATTGGTGCAATGCTGCTCCCTGGACACAGTGTGACTATCTGGCTTTCAATGTGATGGTGTGAACTGGAATTGTCATCTCGCTGTTGCTTATTTTCCTTGCAAATGAATTAATTTCAAAATATTTCAAAGAAATTTCGAAAAGAAGTAATGATTTCAAAAGTATTTTTAAATTCATAATGCAAGGAAGATGAGCATTAGCAAACTTCAGCAATCAAACAGCATCATACATATGAGCCCAGATAGTCTTGACCTCGAACCACAGCAGACTTGCATCACGAGATACACCAAATAAGAACACACCAAGAATTCAAAATTGACAATGCTGAAGTAGTCCCATCATCATCAACTACGAACCAGAGTTGATATCCTATTGGCGCTCGGCGCCCAGACTACAGGTGGCAGATCCTATCTAGCCTATACTACGAAGCAGA